TTGATATCAATTATATTACCAAATTTGTTCTTTCTGCTAAATAACTTGGGATTCAATGAGGGGACTGAGAAACATGGTTAACTGAAAGAAGGGTAGTTTGTCCAATCACCACACATTTTTAATATATAGTTTTGCGATTACTAATACTTATATTCACGCTTCATATATTCAAGTAAACCATTCAACAAATGTAAATGTACATATATAATACTGATTACATGTGGAGCACAAGTTAATCGTATTTTTGAAATTTAAAAGTCTTAAAGGAAATTACTACAAACAATATTTATTTTAGCCGCAATTCAAATTTTTATATGCTGCAACTAGTTAATTCAGTAAGGAAACATACCAAACATAGAAATGGATTTCCCGTTACATTTTAGCTGAATCTTTTACTTTATTATTATAATTATTCCGTTTGTATAAGACATCACAAATGAATTGTTAATAACGATGTTTTATTTAACTGTATAAAATATGCTTTACTTAAATATATAATAATTCATTGTATTCATTTATTCATTGATTTTTTTACTTGGCTCTATAATAATAGTATTTATTTACTGCGGAAAAAGAAGCATATTAATATCATTGCATATCCATATTTAAATGGAAAAAATTATATGAATACATTATTTTGTTTTATTATTATTAGTAATATGCAATAAAAAAAAATCAATAGTTGCAAATTATAATAATCTTGGTAGGCTTGTAAGGCTATTTTCTTCATAGCCAATTATGATTATTACACAATGAATATCACAGTATTTAGGAGTGATGAAGAGGGAACGAAAAAAGTGTTGATGAAAGTAATTCTTTATGGTTTCATTCTTTCCAGCATGAAGGCTCCTATATCAGCAAATGACAGTGATGATATATTAGAATCAGTGGCGTTGTTCAAGTATAATCAAGAAGATCTTATTTCGTTGAATCCCTTGATATAGAGGGGATAACGTGAATTAGTTTGTCTTGAGTTGTTTGAAATCCTGCCTATTATGTATGGAATCATGATTTCACCCAG